TTTTTGCAATTTTCTGTTGGATCATTGACGCAAAAAAACCAGGGTTCCAGATGTGCGTTAGCTGTAAGCAAGCCGACAACAGCACCATCTCCATACATGTTTGTGTTCAGTCCAACCTCAAAACTCAACCAGAAACTCCAGTTATTTCCCTTCAGTCTCCTGTTTCATCTTGTCGTTGCATCTTTGTGAACCACCTGGAGTCGGTTTTACATAACACCTGACTGACATGTTAGAATACGACTGAATCCAAATCAGCTCCACATTGTTTCACGTTCTATGGAAGAAAAAACGCTAAACTATCCTCAAAATGTGCCATACATCTTAGGGGGATTTTAGAATTAGCGATCCAACAAAGAGCTCAATTATCACACAAATACAATAATTATTGTCACTCTGGCAGCGAGGACTCTCATCAACACCATTTCCAGCAGCTGTTTTCCATTAAAGCTGCCCGATGAAGCCAGTTTCTGCTGCACCAAAGAACAGCGACACAAAGTGACCAACTGGCTGGTCACAAAAAAATGGAAAATAAAGCTTCTATGCAGCCAGATACAGATAAATATAAAGCTGGTTAAAACCAAACGAGACCTAAAAGATCACTCAGACGGAATCAGACAGTGTCCACGTTGGCTTCTTGTAGAGCAACTTTGGACCTCTTTGTATTTCGCTGCATTGATTCTTCCCACCAGTTGTGACCATAGACTGTATAAAAGATGGACGTAGCTGCCGTGACGTCACCCGTTGGTTTCTGCACTGAGAAAATGAAGCCAGGGTTTTACTACTTCCTGGTTGACATCTTGGATTTTTGGAGCCAGTGACGCAAAAATCGTCGGAGGGGGGCGGAGCCATAGGAGCAGCGATTGGTCAGACCGATTGAGAGGCGGGCCCTCTCTGCCCGCCCACATTTACCGCCTTCTGCTCGCTTCGTCTGCATCGTCGCTGCCGACTGTCAATCAAGCCAGCCACGCCCCTTGCCCCGCAAAATGTTGATGATTTTTTAAAAATTCAGTATTGATTTATTTTCAGATTGGCCACCTGATCTCTGGATTTGACCATGAAAACTAATAAGAAAAACATCCTGAGCTGTAGGAATGCAGTATTTCGTGATCTGTGATCACTTCTCTTCCAATTCAAGTCTATGGGAGCCAGAGCTTTTTGGAGCCAGCAGCTAGCGGACGTAGTGATATTGCAGGTTTTTGACACTTCCGGGTTGGCTTCATTTTTCAGGGCTGGTTGCTACGTCCATCTTTTATACAGTCTATGGTTCTGACCAGCTGAAGAGCACCTGCATACATGATGCTGCCACCGCCATGCCTTTACTGCAGGAATGTTATAAGGTGACTCAGTGTTGAATCTCCTTCCTCATGCTCTCAGAGGCAGATACAGATAAATACAGAGCTGGCAAAGACCAAACAAGAGCTAGAGCATCACTAAGATTGAATCAGACAGTGTTGGCTTCCTGTAGAGCAATTCTACTTGTTAAAATCAAATCAGAGTAAAATAAAAAGTTATGTTCTAACAGATGACACTGAAAAGTTTATTTGGGTTTTGTTCTTTTAAAGAAAACTGGTAGATTCTTTCAAAAATACATATCTGGGCCTCATAATTGGACATTAGATGTACAAACAGGCTGGATGCGGGTTTGACCTTTAAAGACAGACTCCTATCGCCGCGTCGCCAACATTTGTTTTTTCTTCATTAAAGGCTGACATTTTGGCAACAGACAGGCGGCGGGGAAACGTCGTAAAAAAACAAAGCCTGAATGCGCTGCTCTCCTCTCTGCTGTCAGCGCGATGATTCAGGAGTCTTTGATGGCGATTCCTCACAGAGCTGCACCGCCGGCATTCTTCAAACGGCCCCGACTACCAGACCACTGCTTCCTTGTTTGTGTCGGCTCCCCTGATGACATTTACATTCGTCTTTATTTGCTGTCTCCTTGTTTTCGAGCATATTTTCTTCATCCATTAGCCGCAGACGGACACACTCGGATTAATTACTCTAATTACTCCATGTTGCTACCTGCAGCCCAGTCTCCGGAGTGACGCTCGCAGGATGTTTGCCGTACATCCTCCCCACGCGTGCACTTATTCCTCAGAGGAAGCAAAGCATCTCCACAACAACATCTCATTTGCTGCTGTAACCGCTCCCTCATTGTCATTCTCTCTCTCTCTCTTGGCAGCTCTCTGTCTCTCTACCTCGTTGCTTATCTCCTAATTGCTTTTCTATAAATGGATAAAATATGAGCGTGCACGCACATCACATTTTCTACGTGTGAAGGAGCGTTTCAAAAAAATCTTTGCCAGTGTCGTCCTCTAAATGTCTCATTACTCCCTTTCTCGGGTGTAATTGCTGCACCGAGCGGCTCCGGCCGCCCCCCTCAGGGTGAATATAATTAAAACTATGAAATTATGAAGTAAAATCATCAATTGTTATTCAGCTGAGCGGTCATGGGGGAGAGAGTACCTCCACACTGAGCTGCCAAATCTGAAAAACAGATAGTTCTGGACATAAAACTAAACTGAATATGGTAATAATTGCATTTTTTATAAAGTGGAACTCGATTTTTAATGCTATTATTCAAATTTTGTATATTTATCAACTAGAAAAGAATAGTTTTGGTAGTTTGGAGTCTCACAGTCCACAATATGCTCATGAAATTATTAATAAATGATGCAGCAGCACTCAACTTTTATTGTAAAGTGCTGCTGATGCAAACTGTTTCTCCTGCAGCTACTTCAAATTAAAAGCATTCAAAAGGCAAAACATGGGGTGGCTTTTATTGTGAAAGAAAAGCAGCGTAAGCATCACAGTGGTTAGTCTAAACTAAAAGAAAAGAAGAAGAAAAGAGTCAGTTTTGGCTTTTCATTGACAGAGGAGCAGATTTAAATGTTGGAAGTGATGAAGAACGAAGCAGCAGCTGCAGCTTGATGGAGATCTGTGAGCATCAAGCTGCTTCCACTGCAGGAACCAACGGGCCGCTTTAAGGAAGCCTGAACCTTTAAGGGTGTTCTTAAAGTTTTGTATATGTATTTTTATAGTAGTAGTTTATATATAGTAGTTTGTGTGATGCCAGTTTTGGTATCATGTGCAATATTTCCGTTTCATGTGTAATATTTAATTATCATTTCACAACTTTTTGACCACAGGAGCCACATTTTACTTTGATATGCAGCTGATGTGCAGAATCTCATTTTATTTCATTTTTCAGGTGCAATATAATATCATGTGCGATATTATTTCTTACCTCCTGCATTACTTTTAACTGTTCCATTCAAGCCTTATTGAGTCATTTCACTAATATATCGTACTTATATCTTATTGCTTTTTTACTTTCAGGGGCTGTATTTTTTTAATGTCGTTTGTTTTTTTCTGAGCAACATCTGGTGCAAGAATTTCCTTCTGGAATAATAAAGTTTTATCTTATCTCAAGAACTGCTCCTGTAGAAACTTTCAGGTCTGTTTTTGGGAGATAAAGTTCCTGCTCCAGGGTTTGTACGTCCGAGGGACCCTGAAAAAAAACTACTGATTGGAGAAAACAAATGCTGGAGGGGATAAAAAAAAAAAGCAAATTTTCTACCCTTTTAAAATCCTCACTGCCATCAACAATATAAAAACTTAACAAACCTCCCCTGTTTTATTATAACTATCAGCTGTTGCACATCAAAAAAACCTTAAAATGGTTAATTACGGAGCAAATCCTGGAAATATTTGCGCCACATTACGCCTTCCTCAAGTTCATGCAGTGGAAAGCTGCCTCTTTTTTCACTTCTGTTGTGCTAAAAACTACCTGACCTGCGTTTAGCATCGTGCTCGTGTCACATTAACGACCGATTGTTTGGCTGCGCTGTGAACAGACACAACAGCTGCTTCTGGTGATTTTCTTGACGCCTGAGCAGCAAACACTTCAACGTCTTAATATTAACGAGCTGCACTCAAGTCACTGTTTTATTCTAAACTTCTGCTCTCTGAAAGCAGAAAAACACATCTATGAGAGCGACTAAATGAAGAGTTTGTGTGTAATAAAACAAAGAATAATCAGGTTTTCTCCTCTCTGTGAAAAAAAAGTGTTGTTTTCTTGTGGAAATAGAAAAAAGACTTTATTGTGGATGCATATTGTTCTCACACGTAAACAGCGTTTTCAAATGGAGCTGGCTTCGTGTGACGGTACAGAGACACGTGTAGAAGTGCAAAAGGAACAGAATGCGCATTTGTTTCCCGTCATTCACGTGTGCAGTTGTGTTTTTTTTTCTTTTAAAATGTCAAACAAATGTGTATTTATGTCAGTATTTTACTAATAATCTTCCTCTCTGTGGTAATATGCTGTAAAATTTTGAAGAATTCTGAAACGCGCTGACGGCCTGAATGATCATCTTTCAAATATATTACTATATGTTGACGATGCAACAGAGGTTACAGGTTTTTAATTCATATAGGAGTATTTTTTATGTGTACAGTATATATATATATATATATATGCATCTGTATCTACATTTGTCCATTTTTACATATACAAATCCAAACTTGTAAAGTCAAGCGTCAAATCAGTCTCACATGTGCAGGTTTCTCTCAGACAGAAGCAAAAGTAAGTCAAATAAAATGAGTTTGGGGAGTGTTGTGAGGAAGTTCCTGTGGGTTTTTTTTTTTTTTTTTTTTAAACAGTTGCAAATCCACGACTTGTAACACTGAGAGAGAACAAGGGAAAGAAAAAAAAAAAAAGAAACAAGAGAGAGAAGGTTTCACTATTTTCCACTGCAGTGCATTAAGGTGTCACAGTGGGGAGGTAACAACGTTGAGGAGAATCCTGGAGGGAATCCACAGCGACGGTAATGCCTTGTAAATTGTGTTTCGGGGGTTTATGAGAGAGAAGGAGGGCTCAGAGATCAGGTGGTGGGTTTGTTCTTTTTTTTTTTTTGTGCCATTTTAAAATCAACAGACGCTTGAATGTCTCCCTCCTCCTCCTCCTCCTCCTCCTCTTCCTCTTCTCTCGGTGCTACCTTCAGCTATAGGGCCACGTTGAACTCAGTCACCAGGAAGTCCACGTGGTCCCTCTCTTTGGTCTTGAAGGCCTCGGCGATGAGGCGGGCGGCGTCCCGGTGCTCGCGGCCCCTCAGGGAAACCCCGTTCACCTCCAGGATCACCTGACCCACCTTCAGCTGGCCGCAGTTATGAGCCGAACCTCCCCTCTGAGGAAGACACAAAGAAAGACAGCGTTTAAAACTGATTTTTCTGGGGGCGCCACAACAGCTGGTTGAGCTGGTGTTCCATGTTCAGGGGCTAAAATCCAGAGGTCATGGGTTCGAGTCCCGCTCATGGCCCTGTCCTGCAGTCCTTCCCTCATTCTTCTTCCCCACTTTCCTGTCCCTATCTTGACTTTTCTATCAAATAGAGGCAAAAAGGCCAAAAAAACGCTGCTTTTTCTAACCGTTTCTGTACATTACATGTTACATGAAGGCTTGTTGGAGAAGATTCTTTTACTTCCTGTTTCTTGTTTAACGTTTTGTCTCTGATTTGCTGCTTTTCTTGCATTCAAACACGCTTTCTGAATCATTTAATCTCAAATCAGATCATTTTTAGAACAATTTCTGCTCGATTTTCTCGGATTTGCCTAAAATTTTTAATTTAATAAAATCTGGATGTTAATAAAGATATATTTTTTTCTGAAATTATAGCTTGATATATACAAAAAAACACGTTTAGCTTGATTTTTGTACTTTGAAATTTGAGGCTAGGCTCCTGAAATTTTAACTCCTTCTTTCTCATCATGTCTTTGATTTAGATTCTGTAATATTCTACAAATAGATCAAATAATCTGGAATTATTGGTGAGTTCAAATATTTAAAAAAAATAAAATAAAAATCTTACTCACCATGAAAGCTCCCATCTTTGAGCTCACAGTAACAAAAGTATTGATGATGATCAAGTATTTTATATTAAAAAGTATTCAGTGTGTTTAGTTTTGTATTATTATGACCTGCAGCTACAGATGGTTCAGAAAATATCACTAGTCCACTTCTGTAGTGTCACGTTGTTTTTTTAATATGTTGAGACTTTTTACAGCAGCTACTTTTTTATGGTCACATTTCAACTCACCCATTATTGGATATTATTTGATCTACTGGCCCAATATTACAGATTCTGAATCAATGACATGATGAGAAATATCAGTGAACATTTCAGGTTTTTATCTTTAATAGTTCCTGAGATATTCTGCTTCAAACAGCCTCAGATTTCAATAAGAGAAAAAAAATGTGCTAAAAGTGGGTCGACAGGCAATTAAACAAAATAAAAAAATCTTGAAAAATGTTTGATATATTGAGCTAAAATTTCACAGAAACCATTTGAAGTTTTAACAGTTTGTTATAAAGTTTCAAACAAATCAAACAGAAGGTCCGTGATGACATGAGATGGAATAAAAAGTGAATTTTAGGAGAACTAATTGAAAAACTTGCAGCAAACGATGTGTTCACAGATTTCTAATATTGATAATAACTGTATTTATACAGTCAGGGCAAAAAAGAGACGATGGAAACTCAGGAAGAACGTTGAACAGAAGGCTGCTCAGTCCAACCATGGTCAAAGATTTTCAAAATAAATCTACACAACAACGACCAGATAAGATAATATAAGAACCAAAAACGTCACATCTGAGTGAGGACAGAGACGAAGTGGAATAAAAGAAAATAAAAGAAGGTAATAGTAATAATAATTAAAATAATAATAAAAATTAAAATAAAAACAATAATAATAATAATAATAATAATAATAATAGTAATAAACAAATAAAATAAATACAGAAAATAGGTAAATAAATAAAGGGTAAAAAACTAATACCTAAATAGAAAAATTAATTAAAGAAGAATTCAAAATAGACAATAAAAATAGACATCCCATAAGCACGACTAAAACGGGTTTGAAGAAGCGATTTAAGAGAAGAATCAATGAGAATCAGGCTCTAAAGCTGTGAACAGGCTCATCTTATATTAAATACTTCAGTGATTCTGTTAAATACGTTGAGGTCAGGCCCTGACAAGCTCTAAAAGCCATCAGTAAGATCTCTAAATCATCAGTAAGATCTCTAAATCAACTCCAGAACGGACACAGAGTCAAATTTAGCCAATTTAACCATTTCTCTCGGGCACAAAAACAGAAATTTGAGAGCAAATTTCTTTTCATCTGCCAATTCTTTGACAGCAGGACTTGGAAGCTTCTCTGCGACGTGTTTTTGTGAATGAAGCTCGCCAGCGAGCAGCAGAACTGGCAGAACCACATCACATATCAGCGGTTTGGTAAATTGGAGGTGGAACAAGAAAAATCTCCAAGAAAAAAACATGCAATCTGCTGTAAAAAGCTCCCATCAACTACACTGGACACTTCATGATATGAGGAACGTCTAATATGTCGGAACATGAGAGTGTTGAAGTTTCAGAACAGTGTGTTTGTTTGAGGTTCCTCTGATGAATCACCACGACGTCGTCAAACAGCTGCAGGACTTTGTTCACTTATTAATCACTGAGAGTGTCGCTTCTGTGTGACTCAAGTGTAGTCAGAGCAGCACAACTCTAAAGAAGTGATCATTAACCGAGACAGAAGTCCACCTGCTGCCTCAGAGACAGTCGGAGAGTCTTTGTTTGTGTTCCATAAATGACGTCTTTTTTTAGAGCTCCAGGATCTAAAAGCTGAAATTTAAACATTGTGTCGTAGATGGAACTCCGTCAGCAAACAGACGGGGGACAAAAAAGCTGAACCCTTGAGCCCTAAACGATGTGAAGCTTATGATATGTTCGTCACAGCCACCAGATCTGAACCCAGCTGTTGATCTTTAGAACTTTAAATACAATTCTATTATTAAAGTTGCACACGGTCTCTAATGAACGACTTCATCTTGTTCTACTTTTGTTTTACTTTCCTGCTGCAATCAAACCAATAATCCTGCTGTAGTCCTACTCTTAAACACTCTTTTATATCGTACATAGCAACAATTTGGCACCTTTATTGTGCACATTTCTTTTTATGATTTGCAGGACAGCTTCTTTTGCACACAGACTTGTTATAATTAAGTATGTTTCAAGCTATTATCTATCCTGAGTCTGTGTTTTTCCATGAAGCCTATGGTTCTTATAATTAAGTTTCAAGTTACTATGTATTCCTAGTTTGTATTTTGCACTGAGCTTATGTCCTTGAAGACAATGTGGTCGGTGAGAACCGGTTTGCACCCTTGGAGACAGCAGAAACTCCTCTTTTCTGCTAAATACGATTGTTACTTTAGCTACACGCCGTACCAACAACATCCACACATGTTGCTTACCAAATGTCAAGGACGTGGACAGAGTGCAGAAGAGGTATGCCTGTCCACGCCATTGGTAACTGGCCAATTAAACTCAGGAGCGTACAAATCTTATGTATGTCCGGGGCAGGCCCAGCCCAAGAAGATATCTGGAACCATGTCCAGCTGAACCGAAAACACGCAGTTCAGCTGGACATGAGATTGTTCTCCATCCCTCTGAGTCCAGCGCTGCAAAACTTTACCTGTGACCTAAAACTAATTCTACATCTGAGAACTGAAGATTTCTCCGGCTTGTACTTGGGCTTCCAACTAAAAAATGGGGTCTAACAGACTTCTGGTCTTTCTTGAAGGCAGCATGTGAGCTAGCTGTGCTTCATTTGCTATTTGGCTGCTGTAATGTGCAATTTTCCCAGCGAGGGATCTCATCTGAGGGACATTTTGGACCCTCGTCGCCAAAAACACCAAACGAGAGACTGTCTTGTAGAAAAATGTTGCTCCGTCCCTCCAGCGGAGAAGCAGAGAATCAATAGAATCGATGCCGAGCAGCTTTTCTGGCCCGACGCCTCACCGAGACGCTCCGCGGGTTTATGCTGCGAGATAAAGTTGCATTTATTGTTCAGGTGCATGTGAACTGTAGAGTCTCTATACAAACAGAAAAGAGAGGAAAGAGCAGCAACGGACAAGAAGGAAAAAGGTAACAGGAGGACAACTGAGTTCTGCTTTATGTCTATGTATGATGAGGCTACGTGTTTAAAATGAGGCATTTCTCTGCACATTAACGGTCCATCATCACTGCAAACACATCAAACAGTCGTTTCCTCGACTGAAGGCGGAAAAATAAGTGTTTTAAGAGGCAGGTTCATCCAGGAGACGTTCTACATGTTGATACTTATGAGGCATTATCTAAAGTGGCTGCAGGATGGATGCAACATCAAGAAAAGTTTTATTATTACCATATATAATCAGCAATTTCCCTGAAGTTTCCACCAAAGGGATCAATAAAGTTCTATTCTATTCAATTCTATTCTATTCAATTCAATTCTATTCCATCTACAAGAAGTTATGAAAAATGACCTGACTGAGGAAGTTTTAATTGTGATTTATTTGTTATTTGTTATTTGTTATTTATTTATTTATCAAAACTCTATATTTATGTTATAATAAAAACAGTAACTGACGTGAATATTCAGCAGTGAAGTTGTCAAACTGTTTTGGAGGAAAAGGTTCAATTCAGTGAATCTAATCAGATATTGTGTTGATTCAACACAGTTGCTGCCGAAGCGAATTCAGGAATCCACTGTGTTGCTTTAATTCAAGGTTTTTCCTTTAACTTGTCTCCCACCTGCAGATTCTCACACATTCACAAAAACTGTTTCCATTTAAAGTAACCATGAGGTCATCTCTGAGGAAATGTTTGCATTTTTAGAACATTTTTACATTTTTGTGTCTGATTGTGATCA